AGAGAGGGCTGAAAGCCCTATGAAGCGGTATATAAGTCTAACTGCTATTGCTATTGCTATTACCCAGTGCTCCCTGCAGGCACCAGTATTCCCGTACAGGGGCGTACCGCCTGCAACCCACCACTGCTTCCCATGTTCTAAATCTATTTTGTTCTGCTTTTTTTTCTTCCTCATTTGACATTTTAGTTACAGTGACATTCAGATGTGGAATGATAGCCTTAGTGATGTTTTGTTGGTTCAGACTTTGTGACAGGCCACAATTAAGAGCAAGTCTTGGTTTGCAAAACCATTTGAAATCCTTTTTATTACTCTGGCTATTTGATTAACTGTAATTGCAGTAAATTCACAGGCTAATTATGTTTTACAGTCTGCAAAACCTAATTAAGCGTATACAACTGTAATCTAGAAGAGCATTCAAATTAAGTGAATATATTTTGTTTCCAAATATTACGTTTCAAGGAACATTCTGTTTTCAAATAAGGTAGAGCCAGCAGTATTTGCTCATTATTCATGGTTAAAAAGCCTCACGTCTCAAATACAGTATATCATTGACCTGTCTAAATCACGTTAAACATAGTTAAGTGAAATAATATTTTAGGTGTGCACGTGTTTAACACTTTGCAGGTAAATCAGAATTCAAGAGTTTGAAAAAATTTCTTTTTTTTCATCAGCAAAATATACATCTCATAAATTGGATATTGTCAGTCTTACCTATCAGTGATCTATCTCAGGTTATATACAAGCCAGCTAAAATGTTACCGTGTTTATGAAATCAGAATATTTCTTTATGAAAATTGATTGACAAAAAGTTTAGTTAAACAGGCTGAATTCTCACGATTTGTCTGATATTTTTTTGAAGCAGTTTGAACCATTTTTCTGTAGGGCTAATAGATGGAATGGAATAATAAAAAGGTATCTTAACTGATAAATTATTCCTAAAACAAATTGGCGAATATTGAACTTGGCTCTTTAATTCCAGGCATGCAATTATAATTATTGTAGAATAATTAAAAAAGCATCGACTCATCATTCAGTCCTTATACATTTTAATAAAATTAAACAAGCAACAAATATTTCCTCAGCAATATAGTAGTCCAGATGAAATTAGCTAAAGGAATACTTACGTGCGTACAAAATATTTGAAGTAATGCTTTAAATCCATGGTTTTAAAGTTGTTCATTGATAGTTGGTCATACATCCCAATAATGCACATGGGTGCTGCTTTCTGCATTTTATGCAATGCAGTAAAACACATTAATGTTGCAGGAAGAGCTGTGTCACATAAAGTAGCATATGGGTTGCAAATGAACAGACCATGGATTTCCACTGGGGGATTTATGTCCCTATCCGGGTACTTGAGAGACCGCCTGCTGCCAATTACCTCCCACAGACCCNTTCCTTGATTAAAATATTGTTGACTATAGGTATTCTTTATTTATATGTGTTTTCTGCAGCCTTCTGAGCCACATGATCATGATAGCTAAACACTGCTAAAAGTGCCATTCAAATATGAAAAACCAAAAACAACCGGGTCTTATTTTCTTTTTACCTACAAATATGGCTTGGGCTTTATTATGGGGGGAAGGTTTATTGTTTTGGAGTTGCCAAGCAGCTGCTCTCTTGTGAGCAGGCTCTCAAAGAGCCGGGCACTGCCTCATGCAGCAGCGCAACACAACAGCCATGAAGCGACTACGCTTACGAGCAACCACCCGGCAAACCCCCTTTGCAGCCAGGCACAGCGCCATTCACTGACCTAGGGGTATCGCCAAGCTGTGTGAGTGCCTCTTCGCTGCTGCCCGGCTCCCATGGCTTGGCGCCTTCCAAATGCCAGTGAATGGTGCTCTGCATGGCTGAAGAGGGGGATTGTACGAGCGGCTGTTCCGCTTTCGCTCACCTGCCTCCCAGCCTCCCAATGCATGGCCCAACTCTCATTACGGAGCCAGGGATGCTTTTTTTGTGACTTCCAACCCAAGTCTTTTGGCAGTGGCCGCTCTGGGCACACACTCTATGGTTGTGGGCCAGCTGCCTGCAGAGCATACAACCATAGAGCGTGCGCCCAGAGCGGCCACTGCCAAAAGACTCGGGTTGGAAGCCGTGGAAAAGGGCAGGCTGGGATGGCTGCGGCAGTGGAGTTGCTCTGGCTCCGTAATGAGAGCTGGGCCATGCATTGGGAGGTGGGTGAGAGAGAGCGGAACAGCCGCTCACGCAACCCCCCCTCTCCAGCCATGCAGAGTTCCATTCACTGGCATTTGGAAGGCGCCACGCCATGGGAGCCGGGCGGCGGCAAACAGGTGCTCATGCGGCTTGGTGATACCCCCTGTGAATGGCACTGTGCCTGGCTGCAAAGGGGGTTTGCCGGGTGGCTGCTCGTAAGCGTGGTCGCTTCATGGCTGTTGCGCTGTCGCAGCAGCGCACACAGCCATTCGCCCATGAGGCTGTGCCCGGCACTTTCAGAGCCTGCTCACAAGAGAGCAGCTGCCCGGCAACCCTCCTCTTCAGCTGGGCACAGCGCTGCTCACCAACCTAACGGCATTCCAAAGGTGCCAAGCAATGCGATCACCTTTGCCTCCCCCCAGGTTCCAGCGGCTTGGCACCTTCAGGATACTGTTAGGTTGTTGAGCGATGGTCTGCCTGGCCGGAGGTGGGGGGTTGTCCTGGGGGCTCATATGCGGGGGGGCTTATATTTTTTCCCACCAGAAAAATGTGGCATGGCTGTATTATGAGGACAGGTCGTATTTTCGGGGAAACACGGTATCATGTCAGAGTTTTGACAGTGTGACTATTATTATAAGTAAAATGCAGCACACAGAGTTTTTAGATAACTAATAGTGGTTTATATACAAAATATATAGACATAAACATGGAGCTAAATAATCCCTTACCACTCAGCTACAAACACCAGGAGAGAAATGAAACACACAATGAGAGAGAGAAACACCCTTTAATGACCACCTGTTTATATAGACTTATGTGGACCTCCAGTCAGTCTTAGGAGAGTTATACCATAGCTGCAATGAATCATCCTCACTGCATCAGCCTTGCCTTACATTGCATCAGATTACTGATTACAGTTTACAAACTTTCATCAGCTGGCAGCTATTAAATCCTTATTACCTAATATATCATTTTTAGTTTTAGAACTATTGTACCATACTATGGAATGTATGAATCGCATGGGTTGAGGAAATACCTCTCTTTTATCTCCCACAGTATATGTCCAGCCAATTCAGTCTGGAAGGGTTAGTGCATTTGTGGGAACCATCAATTAAACAAAGCCACCTATCATGACCCTGGAAACATACAGTATCTTTTCTGTAGCAGCACTTGCCCTCTAGAATGAGGTTCCTTCAAGATGCCAACAGCCTCCACCTTGCTGAGCTTTTGAATGACCTGGAAGACCTGACTCTTCACCCAGGCCATAAACAAGGATGGCCAAAGGCTTCCTTTAATTCTTTTCCTTTGTTCCCATCTGTTCTTGTCATTCTACCAGCTTTACCCTTCTTTTTTTCTTGCTTTTAATATGTTAAATAGTTTATAAACTGTCCACAGTCACTGAAAGTCAGGCAGGATATAATTAAATTATTAGTCTCCCTATTTTAATGAGAGAGAAGTTGATTTGATGTTTGAACAAGGTTGTTTTCATTTTTGTCCTTTTTTAATGAAAAATAGATTAAAAGAATGTCAACCCTACTCTGAAATAGAATTCATGGTTATAATCATTTTACAGCCTCATTCCCTTATCAGAGATCCAGAGGTATAAACTATGCCCAGAATTTATTGGCCCACATGGCTACTTATAGGATTCTGGCAACTGAAGTTCATATATTTGAAAGCTGCCCAGATAACATTGAGTGATTTGGGGTCATTTTCACTTTCTATACCAACCTTTATGTGAAGCTTCTGAAGAATGCGGGAGAGAAGGCGGGAGAATCTGCCTGTATCCAGAGCATTGATCAAGGTCACAGCTTTTCGAACTCTTAAAAAAAAGAATGAAAAATTTAAAAGCACCATATTAAAGAACCACTTTTTTAGATAGGTAGCGATCTAAAATAACAGATTTTGAATTTATCTCCTTCTCAGCTTTTACCAAGTTGTCAAATAGCAATTTAATATTAAATGAAGTAAACTGACTGCATTTTAAGGCAATCTGAAATTCTCCAGCCAGTCTCCAGGAAACAGAAGTCAAGTGATTCCAACCTCCCTTATTGGTCTTGCAAAGAAAAAACAAGGGCAATGACTTATTTTAACTAAATTCGGGTTTAAATTCTAATTCAGATTTGAGCAGGAGGCGGCGCTGTATTGTTGCACAACACCGACAATTTGGTCCAGAAGGACATCATCTAAATCTCTGAAATTGCAATGTAAAGCAGCAGCTCTTAAAGCAGCCACATAACTCATTAATTGTTTCTCCCTCGCACTGGCTTCTCCTATGAAAGGCATGCTGGCGAGCTGTGCGGGATGGTTTTGGAGCGTAATGATTCCTTAGTTTCGCCATTAACACATCCTATGAAACAGTGTGTACGGATTGGAGAGCCACTAGCGTCCCCGCAATATTAAACATTTCCGTACCACACAAATTTAGAAAACATGACTTTTTTCGGTTTTCAGATAGCCCGGTGTAGTCATTGGCTTCTAAAAAACATTCAAATCGGGAAATATATGAGTCCCAGGTCTCTGTAGCCCCGTTAAAAACTGCTAATGTGTTCATTGAACCCATTCTGAGGTAATTTGTTGGCTCAGTTGATAATCAGACCGCAGTCCTCGTAGGTTTTGTGACTTCACTCAACCTTTCATTGAGGTTGACTTCACTCAACCTTTCGTTGAGTGATTCCTCTGAGGGGAATTCAGTTCTCGTGACTCAGCTTTGTGATAGTGACTCTTATCAGTTCTGCCTGAGCTCCGCCTCAGCATCCCACCCTTGTTGCCAATGTTCTAGCTAGAGAGAACGTGGGCGGACAAACGGAGACGAGCCAGGACTTCAAAATGCTAACAGTTTTAATGCTAACAGGTTGCCAAATGCAGCACTTCGCAATACACGCATCTCAGCTAACTGGCAATGCTGAGCCCTGTTTGACAGCTCTTTATATAGGCCGGCTGTCAAACAGGTAACCAATCAGGAGCGAGGACAGCACCCCCTAGTCAACAGACCAGAGGGAAAACTATAAAACGTAACACAAGTTTCTTTAGAAGTCGGATGGAACTCAGCAGAGCCAACTGCTAAGCCAGTGTTTCTCAACCTTAGTAACAGCTGGTAAAGAAACTATATCAAAATTGAACAGCCCTTTCTCAGTAAAGAGGGATGGATACAATATCATCTATCTCCAGTTTGCAATACAGTCCTTTCAACAGTTCCAAGAAGGCTCCACCCCCATTAGCACTACTCAGGTAACCCTGAGGACACAGATAAACTTCCAGGTGGCCTCAACAACTCGCTAAAAGAATGCAAATGACCAGTTTCTGCAAGAAGTATAAATCATTCCATTCTCCACCATCCAGTCAGAGCTGAAGAAGCTTCTTGGATGAGAAGCGAAAAATCTTCTAAGAAAAAACAAAGTCCAGTTGTCTCTTGGGAAAAAAAGCATCTTTGGGACAACCATGACTGAGAATCTCCATAGACATTTAAACCTTAGCAACTGTGAAGCTCTGCAGACTTGGAGTTCCACAATTCTGGGATTTAAAGTCCACATATTTCAAAGTTGCAAAAGCTGAAAAATGCTGCGCTCAGAAAATAAGGCCAGGAAACCCCTTCTTAGAAAGTCAGGAATGATTTCACGTGTGTGGTCCTTGGCTCCTTGTTCTCCCTTTGCAGCCTCGGCTGCTACAGCATTTTCGCTTTGCTCCTTGGTCCAAGCGTTAACATTGAAAGAGAAGCTCTCCCCCTCCACTCCCGTCTGCATTTTAGCCTGCATCACTTTTTTGCATTATTTGTAAAGGACGTCACCTTTAATATCATGCAACCGGCATGATATTAACCCGCAAGAGGGTATGTAAGAGGGAAAACACCAGAACAGTCTCACCCTTACCTTTCGGTATCAGGAATAACCATGGGCGCCGCCATTTTGAGCGCCGTCAATCATACCATCCCCTTTCCCTGGAAAGCCAATCAGAAGCTCAAAAAGCTTGGTCCCGGAAAAGCTACTCCCAGCGGTGCGAGTCAGGCAAGTCCCGCCTTTCGGTTGCTAAGCCTTCTCCGGGTATTTATCGCCAGGGAGCGCCAGGAAGGAGTGCATAGCGTGGGGCTGCTGCTACTGCCGGCGAGTAGTACACGGCGGAGCATGCGCGTAGAAGCGCTGCCTCTTTCGAACTCTTGTCTGTCGTTCCATTGGCTGAGTATCATAATCCTGGGTCATTGCCCAAAAGATTAGTGTTTATGTATTTCCGAGGTACGAGTATTTCCGAGGCTCACTCATACTTTAGTGCAGGGGTCTCCAACCTTGGCAACTTTTAAGATTTGTGGACTTCAACTCCCAGAATTCCTTAGCCAGCTTGCTGGCTGAGGAATTCTGGGAGTTGAAGTCCACAAGTTTTAAAGTTGCCACGATTGGAGACCCCTGCTTTAAGTGTCATACAGAATATGAGATTTTTGGCAGGAATATTCACAGCAAATCAGGACAAATTTGAACTTGCGTGCAGCGACGCCCCTGTGCAGATTCTCTTTTAAGTGCCAATCTTCAGATGCTGGAACAGGTCAGAAACTGCAAAAGATACTTTGGTTCTTGCTTCTTGCAAAAACAAAAATCAGATTTATTTTTTTTGTAATTACCAATTGCTAACTAACAGATTGGTTGCATTTTGTCGCTGAACTCTTTCTTTGTCAAAAAGGAATGATTAAAATGGTTTTTATCTTGTATATGTGTGTGCTGTGAACAAGGTTTCACAGTTTTGGGCTAAGGAACAACAAGCACTGTCCTAGGTGTCCATGCCCCCACCCCTACCCCCTTCAAAAGACAAACTATTTTAAAATATTCACATTGGCAAGAAGTGATGCCATCAGATTGGCCTAGAGGCACTATAAACCTTTGAATCAGCACTGATTGTGAATCAAGTTTATTCACTAACTTAATAATGAACTGTAGTCCAATACCCTGCACATTGGCATAAAATATGTCATCTCCATTTTTGCCCCTATCCTGCCTCTATTTCTTTTTTCCAGATTGGTCTTTTTCTCTTAAGAACAAAGCTCTCCTTGACTGAGCTAAAATGCTGAGCTATATCTTTGAGTCTATAGAAAACTATGCCAACATAACATATTTTTTGTTACCTCAGGTTTCTATGGGATTTCCAGACACGAAGTTGTAAATGATGCTTATATAAATTTGCAGAGCACTTAAGGAAGGGAATTCTCAATCCTCCAGACTTCTTTTCTCTCCCTAGTCCAAGTGTCATTAGCTGACAGGAAACATCCACTAATCACTCTCCTTAATATAGAATCCTTTGCACAATGGGGAGAAGCAGATTTAGCTACCTGTCAAACTCATGAGTTTGTACAAATGCAAGTGTTTTGTAAAGGTGTATTTAAATTGGACACAAGGCTACAGCTGTTCCAAAATATGGCTAACATCATATACATCAGCATCCTAACTATCAGCTGGTAATCAGGCTCCCTTTGAACATACCTCTGCAAAACACTTGTGCAAAGAGAGCAAGTTTTGATATTCAGTTTGTATAACTGTACAATCACAAATGTTAACCATGAAAAAGTGATGGCTCAAGCCTTACAGTTTCAAAGATATGAAACTCAAGGGAAAGAGATGGGCAGGAAAAAAAAGGGGGAAATAGTTCTTGTATCAATTTTTCAAAGTGCCTTTATGATTATAAACTAGGGTCAAAGCTGTTCAAATTGTTTGTTCTCTTTTCTCTGCCCGTCTCTTTCTCTTGAGTTCTGTGTCTTTAATACTGAAAGCCTTGGGCAATCTCTTTTTCTTTTTTTCCTTTGCTTCCACTATTTAGCTGAACGGCAGAAATATTATACCTGCCCAAGAAAAGCATTTAACTCCAACTGCCACTCTGTTTGTAGCTATTCAGTAATAAATAATTCCAGATAAAATTTATCTGATAATTTCAGATTAATGCCAGGTCAGTGTGGAAGTCTTCAATCTTAAACGTGTATATTTAACTGTAACCCCAATTTATCTTAATGGAGTTTATCTAAGTAAATTTGTTTAGGAGTGTAAAATTGCCTTAGATCAAAGGTAATCTGAGGTTCTCCAGATGTTGTTGACTGTACTTTCTAGCAGTTTTAGTATTTCCAGTGGTGAGGGTTACGCTGTGGGTTATAGAGAAACAAGTGAGGAAAACAAGTCCCAATCCTGTTTGTTTGTTTTTAAGCAGAGAACACTGACCAAATTTTGTTCTGTGTGTGTGTTCTTATTATTTAATTACATTCCCTAGGTAAAGGATCAGCTCTCCAGCTGAACTCCGCTCTGACTTGAAGCAACAACAACTAGCATGACCAGTGGTTAGGGATCCTGGGTGTTGTAGCTTGGCAACATTTGGGGATCATTAGTTCCCCAATCCTGTCATAGAAAATAGTATTTCTTGGATCTGTTCATCTTTTGGAATTGTTTAAAGTGGTTTTTAATATCCATCCCCCAAATATGTTAAAATGGAACACACAAAGTGGAATAAAGTAACACTAGCAAGTGGCAGTAGAACTATCATAAAATAAAATTTAGTCAATAAATGAAAATGATTTTTGAGTAAATACTAGCATAGGAAAGTCCAGTTCCTCCTACAGCCATAATGGCAAACCTATGGCACGTGTGTCACAGGTGGCACGTGGAGCATTTATCAGGGCATGCGAGGGGTTGCCCTGTGAGCTGGCCAGCACGCATGCGCACACTGGCCAACTGACTTTGACCTTCTTTGGGGGCTGATTTTTTGTGCTCCGGAGCCTCCGGAGCACAAAAAACTGGCCCTATGGCAAACCGGAAGTTCAGGAACAGACTTCCGGTTTTCTTTTAGGACTGTTTTTCACCCTCCGGAGCTTTCAGAAGGCTTCCCTGAAGGCTTTGGAGGTCGAAAATCAGCCCTACGGACAAACCGAAAGTCACCATTCCCAAACTTCCAGGTTCCCCGTAGGTCCATTTTTCATCCTCCAGAGGCTTCAGAGAAGCTCCTGAGGCCTCCGGGGGGCGTGGGAGGCTGTTTTCATTCTCTCCAGACCCTAGAAAGCCTCTGGAGCCTGGGGAGGGTGAAAAAACTGCGGCAAAAGGCAGAGGCGCTGGTCACGTGCATGCACACGTGGGGGGGGGGGTGTCGCACGCTTAGCATTATGGGTGTGGCAGGCTGGCGCATGCCACCCCCCTGTGCTCCCCCTGCTTTTGGCACGGCAGCCAAAAAAGCTTCACCATCACTGTCCTAGAGTGATATCAACAGCCTTTAGTTATGCTGGCTTTGGGGCTTATGAAATCTTGAGTTTTTCAGGCTAAGAAAAGCTTTTTA